TATATATATATTATACCAAAATCTAGCCATTTGTCACGATCTTTAGCAAGACAGTGTATATTAGACTAATGTAGTTATATAGCAACAGCATAATATAAATATAAACAGGAAATACGGTGAAGATTTGCCTCAAAATGTTCAAGCTTTTAATCTATATAGAGTTTCCAATGTACGACTACTAATTTTTATATTCATATTTTACTTAAACACACCTACATGCAATACATTTGCTTTTCGTTCAAATTGTGTATTTATATTTAATTTATTCATGGAATATGTTTATCTTAATGCCTGAAAGCTAAAGTACAATGTGACATCATGCGTTTCTGTTTATCTGTACGCGTAGGCATACAAAAGAAACACCTGCTATGTAACGATATTAAGTACAACCCTACATAATAATAACCTAGAACCTTAGCAACGTAAATAGTCGCACTTTAACATCTGTATACTTCTTACATGATAAGCTCACTCTCTGTAATTGAACCCGATATGTGTTGGCAGCCTACAACTAGGGCAATAAAAAGCTGTCAGTGTAATAAAAAAAAAAGTACTAATGAATATATAAGTATGAATTTCATTTGGGGTAACGTTTTTACAATAGCAGATTCCTCTTACCATTCAAAATTTATGTACGTATATACATATATATACACGTATATTATACACATATAAGCTGGATAGAATTATATTAGGCTATCGTGAATGCTCTCAAAGTAATGAGCTTTTATTTTTATAGTGCATTCTATTGCAGTGGCCACAATTATGCGATATTTGCACAAGGCAGAACAAAATCCACATGTTGCTCAGTACACTATCGTCACAATGTTTTTACAATCGTTTGGATTGAATAATATTAGGCTATCGTGAATGCTCTCAAAGTAATGAGCTTTTATTTTTATAGTGCATTCTATTGCAGTGGCCACAATTATGCGATATTTGCACAAGGCAGAACAAAATCCACATGTTGCTCAATACACTATCGTCACAATGTTTTTACAATCGTTTGGAAAACACGTCTATTCATTAGTTGCGTTTGTGTGACAATGCTTACAGAAGCATGCATCTAGATAGTAGTGGTAAAAGATTGGATAGATGAAATGCAGTTACGAGACGAGACGTGTGACAAAGCCAGGGAGGGCCACCTAATGTTTGTAATGGGTGTGAGTGCGGAACATTGGCGTTTATTATTGATTTAATGGTTCAATACAAATGTGTATGCTGATTGAAATTTAAGAGGACAGGTAGTGTCTACAATGATTGCAAACCTACCAGTAGTGTAATAGGCTGTGATTTGGCTGCGGTTTGGTGCAGTAAAACTGGTTTGACTTCTAAACCTAGAGGTCGTGGTTTCAATCCCTCGCTATTCATTTCACTTGTGTCCTTTTCTTCATCACCCAGGAGTATAAATGGGTATCTGGTGGAGTTGCCTGATTCTGCACTGATTACCAGCTGCAACACTCCAGGGGCGGATCCAGTAGGGGCACAGGGGTACATGGCACCCCGTTTTGCTACTACTATACTTACACTAATACTAATTTTAAAAATGACTATACAAATCAGTGTTATGTGCTACTTATCTATTCTACATTGTTGCCCCCCCCCCTTTTTTTCCCCTTTTTTTTTTGAAAATTCTGGATCCGCCCCTGCACTTAGAACATGTGTACCCAATGACCGGGGAAAGAAGTGCTTTGTATCAATGAGAGGCGATATTGTTATACTTTTATTTCAGACATGCCAGTTCATAGAACAGAACATAACGTAGATAAACATATCAGAAATCATAAACATAAAAATAATAGGCCTAATAGTAATAATTGGATTGGATTGGATTTATTCGGTGTAAACACCAAGGATAGCCCACGAAAGTCTAGAAGAAGACTTATTTCCAGTGGGGTCCTTCTGGCGATGATTGGGCAGTACACCGGGAGACAATCCCCTACTCTTTTCCGAAGAGTGTACTGCGTTCTTTTTCGTGCACATGGGCCATCAATGCACACGGGACCAACGGCTTAAACGTCCCCTTCGAAAGACGGTGCGCTATTATAACTTGTATTTCAGCCCTCCAGCTGAAATAGGAGAGGCAGCGATGAGAATTGAACCGGAAACCTACAGATCTCCACTGTTCAGCACACACACAGTGGCTACCACCAGATTAGCCGACATATACATACATATATACTATATATTATATATACATATACATATATATATACATTTATATACATATATATACACATGTATATACATATATATGCATATACATACATATATGTATATACACACACACACACACACACACACACACATATATATATATATATATATATATATATATATATAAATTAGTGTACATATTTAAAACAATTGTGGTTAAAAAGTATTATTACTATTTTGAGGTATTTTACTGTTCAAAATATGACATAAAATTATATTAAGGAAATGTATTTTTTTACAAAGTATTTCAAGATTTGAGCCTTGTTTCTATGGGACCTGATGTTTAAAATACTTTTTTTTAAATAATGAAGAAATACTATTCATTTTTTTTGTAACTCTTCATATTTTAAATCATTGCTAATAATCATTTCCACGACTTAACCCAGCTGTATGCTGTATAAACATGTATATTTAATATTTCTATTACTGTTTTAATTTGCAGAAGTTAATCGTCAACATAAAATTGAAATTTAAAAAACACGATTATATATTGATCGAAGAAGAGCAATGGCTGCTAAAGTGATCAGTGATATCAATGAGAAGGTTCTCCTGTGTTCCGTATGTCACGGAAGGTTTCAGACTCCGAAGACACTGATCTGTCAGCATTCGTTTTGCTTATCGTGCATTGAAGGCTGGGTGAAAACCAATGGAGGTGTATTGTCTTGTCCGATGTGCCGCAAAAATTGTGTGATACCAGATAAAGGCATTACTGAATTACCATCAAGTTACTTCATTAATCAGCTTCTTGAATACACCACGGATGAAGAGGAATGCAAATTGAAAGTTAACAGTTGCACTATGTGTAAGAAGACTTCAACTGCACACTGTATGGAGTGTACAGCGTCCCTCTGTGAACAGTGTGCTGGAAATCACTGCAACTTGCTTCTTTGTCGAGACCATACTGTGATGCCTCTAGATGTGTATCAATCTATGGATGCAAAAGACCGTGCTGCAGCTAAACCAGTTATGTGCCCAAAACACACCGATGTTGCTGTCGAGTTCTATTGTGTTGGCTGTGCATCGCCTGTGTGTTTGAAATGCTCTGTTGTTACTCATAAAGGACACGATCTCCAAGAGCTGGAGACGGCATTTGAAAACTTCATAGAAGATGCCAAGACAATACTGGGTCAATGTAAATATAAGGAGGAAGAAATGGAGGAGGGATTGGTGCAGCATCGTCGAGATACTGAAGCACAAAAACAGTCTGCGACAACATGTAAACAGGAGGTGGAACGCCACGCTGAGAAGCTCCACAACCTAGTTGAGGATGCTAAAAAGAAGTTATTGGAAGATCTAAACAAACGTTCAAAGTTTGCATTGCAGAATAGCGAGGATGCAAAAAGAGATAAAGAGGAGAAAAAAGTCCAACTGCAGAATTTAACTATGTTCATTGAAAGCCTAATGAAAGCCCCTCAACCTACTACAGCTCTCTTTGATGCTAATGAAACTCTAAATAAAGCTAGATTAATTATTGGCCGACGAGTAGCAGTAGCCCCAGGAAAATCACAACTGCTGTCTTTAGGTTCAATTAGGCCTACTAAAAGAAGTGCAGATGATAGCAATTCGACAAAGCCATTTTATTTTAAAGAGGATCAAAACCTTACTAGTTTGTTATCCAAGTCGATAGGAGAAATTAAATGTCAACAACCCAAAGATGCATGTGCGAGCACATCAAAAAAAGCAAGGATCGTATGCTGTAGTTCTACATCTCTCTTATTTTCTAATATCGAATAGTTTTAAACGTTGATACCTACAAAACAAATATGGATCAAAAGAATATTCTAACAATTTTTCGTCAAAAATGATTGCAGCTTAAACAAAAAATGCAGTACTGTAATTACAAATTTGACTTAAAATTACTAGGCCTACGCAACGTAAAACATAATTGCATTGCTTATATTATTTACAGACCATTTTTACTAAATTTAAATTACAAAATAAGCGTGGAACTTTATACCATACTGTATAAGAAAATAATGTGTTTATTACCTTCCGTGTTGTATATTTTAGGATTGAGAAATAATTAGTTTTTCCTTAAACAATAGTTACATTCCCAGCAACAGTATTAGTAGTAATAATAATATTAATAATATAGTAATAATTATTCCCCACCCACTAACATTTACCGTACCAGCCCTATTTTTTATCACTGTGAAATAGCCACCTATTATAAATATCCCTAAACCGAAATCTTAACCACCATCCGGATCATATTTATAAGAAGGGTTTCATTCGATTTTCAGGAGGGAAAAACATTTTTATATATGTAGTTTTAGAGCGCTATTTCTGGATGCCATATTCTTAAATTGTTTTAACAAATGGTGGGGCTTTGGTGAGTCTGTAGGTCTACTATCTAAATCTATGTAGATACTCATCAACGATTGTTCAGCATCGGGATGAGGGCAGGGGCTTGAGATGACCAATTACACAGGGGTAACCCCCTACTCGTTTCGAAAGATGTACTGGGTTCTTTATGGTACACATGAGCCATTATGTGTACACTTGGCCTACGGTTTATAGTCCTTATCCGAGAAGACTTGCTCCACCTCCAGAGCTATAGGCGAGCCGTTATAAAATACTTCAATTTAAAACTTCATATTTACACTTAAAAAAACCAATTAAGTAATAAATAACAAGAATAAGAAAATTATATATACAGCTTTATATTAATGAGAAAAAAATTATATTATTGGATTACATAAAAGTAAATTACAAAAATTAATTAACAATTAAAAATTAATAAATAATACTAAAAATACAAAAATTACCTGCAACTCTTCAATCAAAGTTATGTACTGTACTATTATACTGTTTTAATATTGCATGATTATTCACAGGCATTTAGTTTTTTAATAATATACAGTTGTATTGGTATTGGTGAATTTTTGTGACGACTTGTTTTTATTCTCGGGAATGAAAATCTATTGGAATGACGTAGGCTGTATTCACAGACTCTTTCAGCTGGTAACATATCGCGGTGCCTTTTCGACATTAAAATTAGAGACTTAAAGTTACTCTCTGCCACCTTACGTCAAATACCTGGGCCGTATAGGCTTACGCTCATGTAGAGTAGAACTACCCACACCATTCTCCCTTTTTTGCAAACAAAAATTAGGATTTTAATGTACTATTGAACTTCTAATCAAATAAAGACGCGTTGGCAATCATTTTGAAAGTACGAGTTCCATTTCTGAGCATTTAAAGTATCAAATTATCACATTTCTGCTTTGTGTTCGTGAACCACTTTATTGCTGCGAAGCAGCCAATTCATATTCTTGACAGCAATTTGACCTCTGAAAGGTCATTGTTTGTCAAAAATCAACGACCTAAGACGACTGAAAAGCGGAGTTTCCTTTTTTCGTTCTGCCATGGCCCTAGGTCCATGGTTCTGCCGGGTAAAATCAATTACTTTAGGCGACGTTTGTAGACTAACATACTCGTACCAACATCCGCATGTCGCGCTATCCTTATCCTACTCAAAAATTATAACTCCATGTCCTACTCTAGGCCTAGACTAGCCATGGAGTTATAAAATCAACGTCGCTCTTTGATAGCTAACATTGTCTATTTAACATCACAATAATTCATTATTAGACCTATAGTTGTTTTTGTTAGGCAATAATACCACACCTCATCTTTACAATATTCTGTTTACCGCCCTCTATGACATGTGAGGATTGAGCAAGGGGAATAAAGAAAGTAACATGGCGAACTGAAGTTGTGTTGTGCTATGATTATGTTCATGTAAATATAGGACACAAATAACATGGTGGCAGCGGTGTAAACC